TTCGGATAAACTTCTCTTATATTATTGTTACTTAACACAGGCAATTTTAAATAAACAAAAGCATCGCCCCGATGCGCATTTGAACCTTAGACTTTCGGGCCGGCATGGGAGCGTCTAGCCACGTCGCTACTGGTTTCACAGACAGCCTTTAATGTGTCCCATTGTGAACTTGCTGTGCGATATAAAGGAGAGAGAGGGGAAATAGAGAGAGAGAGAGAGAGAGAGAGAGAGAGAGAGAGAGAGAGAGAGAGAGAGAGAGAAATAGAGAGAGAGAGAGAGAGAGAGAGAGAGAGAGAGAGAGAGAAGTGAAAGGCGGTACTGACATTAAAATATGTAGATTACGGCAGTGATTCTCAAACTGTGCGCCGAGGCGAAATGTTTGAAGATATACGAATTTAATTTTTTTTTTCTCTTTTATCTACTTTAGCAACATGTGGATGTGAGTCGTGGACTATCTCCCAGTCCTTAGAAGAGAGAATATGGGCTTTTGAGGTAAAATGCTATAGAAATAAATTCAGAATATCTTGGACAAAGAAGAGGAGAAATACATCTTGAAAGATCTAAACACCAAGGAAGATTGGCTAATAAACAGCATCCTGTCCCGGAAGCTGAAATATTTTGGTCATATCAAGCGCCACGGAGGATTGGAAAACATTATAGCAGAAGGAATGGTACCATTAAGGAGGGGGCAGGGGCCGACCGACACGAAGATGGGCACAGGATATAAGTGACTCATTAGGTATGAAAGTGCATGAGTAGGGAAAGCTGGCGAGAGACCGAGTTTCTTTCAGGCAGACCGTGATGAGAGCCACGTTATGAAAATGGCCTTCTACACGATGATGATGATATATACTTTTACTTAGGTTAGGGTGCCATGGAAAATTTTAATTGAATAAAGGCTTTACCACTAAAAAAAAGTTTGTAACACACTGTATTACAGAGATAGATTTTATCGTGGTATGGGGCGTCGCATGGCAAACTACTGGATGTAAATTTGCCTAGAGAAACCACACAACAGCCAGGGGCTGCTGGGGTTGGTTCTGCAACGTCCTGTAAAAGATACGCAACTAACCTTAGTGGGGCGTCGCAGGTCGACCCAGCCTAAAATGGGTATCAGGATGGCTGTCTTGGGGAAGCAAAGACGGCTGGCGTAATGCTGACCACATTACCCACCTGGTGCCAATGGTCTGAAAACATATGGATGCTCTTCCCATATACCCTATGCGCCTAAAAGCGTGAAAGGGGATCTTTACTTACTTTACTATATATCAAATATAGAGACCGAATAAAACATTTACTAATAAACCTATCTTTGGCTCCCAGGTTGGCACAACCTTTAAATGGGCACCAGGTAGAATCCTTGGAAGTAAAGGCAGCCGGCGTGATGCTTACCACATCATCCACAGAGTGCTAATTGGTCTTTAAAATATAGGTCTAGCCCTATATGTCCAAAACGCTCGAAGAAGTGGAAGAGTATTTTTTTATTTCAAGGTAATAAAATTCGCATAGAAAGAAGTTATATTGGTGATACTTTAAAGGTGACGTTTGTCTCTATTTAACGGTTGTAGGGGAGGGGGGCGAGGTCTCGAGGCATGGTGTCCGCCTCAAGTGCTAGAGTTTCCGGGTTCTATCCCCGGTAAGGGCTGGAATTTTTTCACATGGACTTGGACTTCTAGTAATTTCCCCTGGTCTCTGGGTAGTGAGATCGGACGCCCGTGTGCATTGTTGCGCACTTAAAAAAATTCCCTTGGCAGTTGGAAATGAAAAAGATTAGCTTAACGACGCTGCCCGGGCAAAATTTAGAGTTAAAAATTTACCCAAAGTATTTCAGAATCCTCGTCGGCGGTGCAGAGCATGTGCCCTGTGCTGAGCTTCTTCGGACTCAGACTTGAGTTAGAGGAAGAAAGGAGCACTTATGGATTACTACCTGCATGTCAAGATGATAATCCGTTGTTCAAACTTCAAACTTTAACAGTTGTATTAAATGTTCAACTTTCAATACATTTGCCAAGAAATCGTTGTTGTATACCTTATTTTAAACATCGTTTTTTACTGCTGCTGTCACACCTTTCCTTGTTTGTTCTATTTCCAAATTCGCTGAACTATGCCTTTTGTGTGTGTGTGTTTGTGTGTATTATTATACCTTGACATCTGTATAATACCAGATTAAATCAGCAACCAATGAGATTAGCATAATTTGTTTCAGCGGCCACGATACATCAGAAATAAATTAGGGGGGGGACAATTAGTAGAAGTACTTTAGAGTGGCTGCTGCTTCGAACAAATGTTATAGGGCAAATGGGAGCATCAGACGGCATATAATTTTCGAAATGATTATAAATAATAATGTGGAGAGTCGGCAGTACCACTAAATATAATAATTCATGCCAAAGAACTATGGCGTTGGGTGAACAGTCGTTAATATAGGCAGGTCGTTGTAGGGGCGACGCCTGCTGGTAATAATGTCCTAAGTCCCTTTTAAATAGGTACTGCTGGAAGGCAACAGCCCTTTAGCCCTTTTTTTTTTTTTAAACAATAATATTTTTTTTTTTCCAGACGGTGGCCGCTGCATTTTTGCTAATACATTAGACTGGAAGGATGTAGTTTCGTTGCCCAGCTTCTGAGTTGAGTGCATGGTGTGAAACTGTGGGCTGCGTTTTTTTTTTTTATATTTATTAATACGTAATTTCCTATGTGGGGTGACCCGTTTGCTATATATGAAACTAGGATTACCAGATTACCAGATAACCAGATTAAAAGCTGTCACACCTTTCCTTGTTTGTTCTATTCCTGATGTATTTAATGATGAAGTATGCCTTTCTGATGTGTTAATGATGTTTGTGTGTATTATTTTACCTTGATGTATTTAATGATGAAAGTGTTCCGGCAACCAATGAGATTAGCATGAAATTTGTTTCAGCTTAGCCACGATACATCAGAAATAAATGAGGGGGTGGGGGAGGGGTTGGGGGTATCCATTTTATGATGAAGGGCGCTTTCCTGAGCATCAGATGATAAGCTTATTCGAGTGATTATTAATAATAATGTGGAGAATGGCGGCTTCACTGATGTATTTAATGATGAAAGTGTTACGTGTTAAATGACAAAATGACCCGACGGGAAGAAGCGATATTACAATAAAATGTCGAGTTTGGAAAAACTTCAGTTGTGAATTCATTTTTTGCATGTGTTAATTAGGATGAAGGTTTTGCAGTCCTTTAGCCCTTTTTTTTGATGCAGTTATAGGCTGACTGGCGCAGTAAATGATGAAGTCTTAGGTTGACTGCTTTGCAGTAAATGATGAAGTTATAGGCTGACTGTTGCAGTGACAAATGATGAAGTTATAGGCGACTGTTGCAGTAAATGAGTTGGAAAGTTATAGGCTGACTGTTGCAGTAAATGATGAAGTTATAGGCTGACTGTTGCAGTAAATGATGAAGTTATAGGCTGACTGTTGCAGTAAATGATGAAGTTATAGGCTGACTGTTGCAGTAAATGATGAAGTTATAGGCTGACTGTTGCAGTAAATGATGAAGTTATAGGCTGACTGTTGCAGTACTTCATGAGGTTGTAAATGTGTTCCGTTGTCTCATCTACTGGATGATATGGTAGGCAATCTTTATGTCTCGACAGTAATTTGTTATACTTGCGTGGAAGTTAACCTAAAGAAAGGTTTGACCTCAGTTTAAGACTTACGAATAAACAAATTGGTAACCTCTGAGATCGTAGAAACAGTAAATATACATACATATATACCATTTTCATTTTAAACTGGACACTTTTAAAACCATTTGAAAATTAAAGCGAACGATTTTCATCCACTGAGGTAATTTTTCTAATCAAACTGGACGATTTTCAAACCAAACTGGACAAAATTACAGAAAATATTTTCAATGCCTAAATTGGATAATATGCAGAAACTTTCGAGACGTTCTAAAACGCACACTACGTAATTCTTTCAATCGGAATGTTCTTTTTTTTCCAATCATTGTAGTTCAGTAAACTTAGCGAAGCAACCAAAAATCACCAACCAACCTCAGAAGGACGCGTATCTGTGGCAACGATGTTAAAAGCGAACCTCCTTAGCGAAAAAAAAAGTTCTTTTTAAGCCTGTGTTAGTCGATGGAAGAACTACCCACTAGGCAGCTAAAGTCGTTGGTATCAACGATAACACAACATGAAACATCTATGATTTTTTACTAAATAAGAAACAGAATCATCGCTGGAGCTACGGAGAGCGTGCTCTGTGTTTGATACCATCTTCAGGTGGCGAAGAAGAGAGCCGGAAGAGAAAAAGACGAGAAAATGGAGAGAGAAGAAGGCATAGAAATACGAGAGCCTCGTGCCGATTGGTCTGTAAAAATATGAGACGCTCTTCCCATATGCCCGATGCACCTAAGGCTTGGAAAGGGATCTTTACTTTACCTAACTTACTTTTTACTATTATTTTCCTAAGTTGAAACAGCAATGGCAAAACAAAACAAAAGGCACAGTTGCTCTAGCCATACAGAACGACAGTGACACTAACATTAAAAATATTTATTATGGACGTGAATTTAAGTGAGTAAGGAAAACCTAACCATTGCACTGTATTTATATCCCTTAGTATTGATTTTAGACAGTTGTGACACAATGAAGGGAAATATACACACGAAATCATTCCCCAATTACTGTCCTATGTGGCTTTAAATCCGGCTTCACATGGCATAAGGTCAAAACATATAAAAACTTCGAAAACAATACAAAAGTAAATTTATAAGCATTCGTAGCTATGAGAGGAAACAGTTTAAGAAAGAAAACTATTCAAAGGTAAAGAGAGAGGGTAAGTATAAGCCAAAATCTCTGACAGTAGAGTTTATACATGTTTTCTGAGAATTGTATTTGTTTGCCTCTGTTTTACTATTGTGTAATATACTTTTTTTTTTTAACACATCTGTTAACATCATATCCGACCTGGCTTTGTCTAACAGATTCCACAGTTCCTGGACAGAGGTCCCATCATGTCGCAGGCCGTGAAGATTGGGGCTGTTTTGTTCACAGCAGCTGCGCTCCGACTGTGGTTTTTTGAGGAGACACTCGAGCCTCGCCAGTTGGCAAACAGACTGAACTCAACATATGACTACATTGTTAGTGAGTGACGCTTATCTAATGAATTATAAATATAAATAAATAAATAAATAAATATAAAGAAATGTGTGTAAGTATATATAAATATATGTATACATATATATATATATATATATATATATATATATATATATATATATATATATATATATATATATATATATATATATATATATATATATATATATATATATATATATATATATATATATATATATATACGGCTATCCTCCGAATAACGGGCACAAAAGATGGCGGCCGCAAAATATCCTTACGAGCCTCAGTCACGCGTCAATTGCGCACTTCCGGCGACTTAATTTGTGGTTTTCCGGCGACTATCGCCACCGCAACGAGTTCACCAAGCCGCTCACGCGGCGTGGATTGGGGCTAAACTAGATGGCTAGGACTCACGAGCAAAGCTGCAGGAGATGCGGAAACTGCTGCTCGTGAGTCCTAGCCATCTAGCTTAGCCCCAAGCGGTGGCGTTAGTCGCCGTAAAACCGCCGTAAAACCGCAAATTAAGTTGCCGGAAGTGCGCAATTGACACGTGACTGAGGCTCGTAAGGATACATTTTGCAGCCGCCATCTTTTGTGCCCGTTATTCGGAAGATAGCCATATATACCGTATGTGTGTGTGTACCTTATGTGTCGGTATGTAAAACATTTCCTTGTATCATACTCGCCCCAAAAATTAATAAATTTTCCTAAACAAATTCTGAATTACACACCAATAAATAATAAATAAATACCTGATGATAAAAATTATTTACCGACGGTCAAAAGACTATGATTGTGTGCCCATAGACAGTCTACTTCGCTTTGTCACGTATCCCCCAGCCTATACAATCACTATTGAAACACTCATGGGCTAGGCGTAAAGTCGCTCTCATGAAGGATGCAATTTCTTGTTTTCTGAAACCTCGACCTATCTTTGTAAATGGTTTTTCAGCTTTTACAAGCGTGAAAACAAAAAACAGCCTTGCGGGCTTAAAAGGGAGAATGGTCTCTGTTGTGCCTTGTCGAATATCAGACCAAAAATAGCAGACATCAGCAAGACAACAGTGTCAGCCACCACATTAATATCTGGACACTAAATTGCCAGCAGTGATTGTTGTTTTGTGTGTGTGGGTAAAATATTAACAATGATTGGGGCTTATCTTTTTGTCCTTTTTTATATAATCACATTGTTTTATGAGGGGGAGTGGAGCAGCGTGGGGTCTTGCCCCATACTTAAGGGGCTATCTACTGAAAACGGTTGGGGACTACTGGCCTAGAGATACAAGCGCCTAGGAATTAGACACTTTATTGTAGAAGACCCAGGAACACGCGATTAATAAGTAAAAGGTTATTGGACGAACTGAAGAAAATGACACAAGATAAGCAGCTTGATGTGAGGTAGCTGCAGGCGACAGATGTCAAAGTAGTTATCAAAAACATAATTTTAATTATAATTATAATAATTAAAAAGAAGAAGACGAGGGAAGGGGTAGAAAAAGAAGTGAAAAAAAAAAAAAGAAAAGAAAAGAAAAAAAAAGAAAAAAGAAAGAAAAGAAAGAAAGAAAGAAAGAAAGAAAGAAAGAAAGAAAGAAAGAAAGAAAGAAAGAAAGAAAGAAAGAAAGAAAGAAAGAAAGAAAGAAAGAAAGAAAGAAAGAAAGAAAGAAAGAAACAGAGAGAGAGAAAGAACTCAAGGAAAGAAAGAAAGAAGATGACAATAGTCTGTAGGCTGCCATCTTTAGGACAGGTGGGCGCACGTTATAAGGTCTGCCTGGTGGCCTGTATTATAATCTTCCTCACGTGAAACATTTTGTTTTCTTTTAGTTGGTCTAGACCTGAAGATCGATCCCCCTGAATATAAAAAAAAGGAAAATTGTTCACAAAGAATAGGAGCCTTTAAGTTTTTAGGCCTTTTCATTTACCCAGAGCTAACTGATTTATACAAAACTGGGCTAGCAACATATGTCCAGAGGTCACATGGGGGGGGGGGGGGGGGGGGGATTCGGGAAGAATAAAAGCCTGCATGTTTTTAGACCAAATCGTTATCCAGAGCTGATGGATTTTTACAAAATTGGGCTTGATTTATACAAAACTGGCTAGCAACATATATCCCGATGTCAGATGTGGCTCAGGAAGAAAAGGAGCCTGCATGTTTTTAGACTATCATTTATCCAGAGCTGATGGATTTATACGAAACTGGGCTAGCAACATGTGTCTAGATGTCACTATCGCACAGTGGCTGGCACACTCGCCTAGCAGTTACTCAGAATTCGAAATATTTTTTTGTACATATTGAAAATTAACTCAAACTCAGTATCCAGGTCGATTTTGCACAGAATGGGTGCTAAATATTTATGAATCTATCTATCTGTCAACAGTTGGCGGAGGATCAGCCGGAAGTGTGGTGGCAAGCCGGCTGTCAGAAAACAACAATGTGACAGTCTTGCTGCTGGAAGCTGGTGACTATGATGATTATCTCCCACAGATTACTGTTCCTGGCCTGCTGTTCCTAAATTTGAGAAGCCGCTTCGACTGGTGGTACGAGACGGAGCCTCATGATGGTGTGTTAACAGGTCTTAAAGCTGGTGTAAGTATCGTGTATCTGATGTAGAAACATATTTATACTTTGCGCAAACTGTAAAGTATTTTGATTGTTGAAAATATTAGAGGCATTTAATCTGGACACTCTTCAAAGCGCTCGCGTGTTCATATTGTATCTTGGTGTATGCTCTAACGAACTGTCCAATCCAAAAAAATATATTTCATGAAATAAGTAAAAAAAAAAAAAAAAAAAAAAAAAAAAAAAATCGTTTTTACGCCAGTGATGCTAGATACACATTGTTATAAACCAGTAGACACTGCCTCAGTGATTTCATGAAATATACGCGTGTCACCTTCCCTTCCCAAGATATTTCCTGGTATTAATGTTAAGTTAAATGAAAAAAAAAAAGTTTTTTTTTTAATAATCTGCCCATATCGATTCTACCCTGACTTTCGGGAACGCAGGCAAGAGTCAATCCGACAACGCCTGGGAAGGGGTGGGGTGGTGGTGGGGGGTACTTGGTTATTACATATGTAGATACTTACGGTCTGAGATGAGTGGTACTTTGAGGAGTTATCAGGAGATCTGGCTGGCACTCAACACTCAGGGTAAGGGCGAGACGGTACCATTGGAACTGGAACTCTTCGCTTGCTGCTGAAGATGAAGTCCTAGTGCATATGGGAGTGTCTTGAGCTCTGAGATGTCGATTCTTAATTTCAACATTCAACATTGTAAAAACTTTTGTATAATTTCATAACTTATTTGCAGTCCAATTTCTGATGTTTTTTTTTTTTTTTTTTTAGCCACATCGTTTTTCTTTTTTCTTTGTGTGTCTTTGCTGTTATTATCCAGCAGAACAATATCATTTGCAAAATCAAGATCTTCTAACTGTGTGTTTTCTACCCAGTCAATGCCGGTTTGTCCAGTTCTAACTGTGTGTTCTCTACCCAGTCAATGCCGGTTTTTCCAGTTCTAACTGTGTGTTTTACCCAGTCAATCTACCAGTTCTAACAGTTCTCTACCCAGTCAAATCACTTCTAACTGTGTGTTCTCTACCCAGTCAATGCCGGTTTGTCCAGTTCTAACTGTGTGTTCTCTACCCAGTCAATGCCGGTTTTCAAGTTCTAACTGTGTGTTCTCTACCCAGTCAATGCCGGTTTTTCCAGTTCTAACTGTGTGTTCTCTACCCAGTCAATGCCGGTTTTTCCAGCACAACATTTTTTTAATCTACCAGTTAACAGTTATAGCAAATCACTGGGGAGATCAAATGCATTCATGTTTCACTCCTGCTTCAACTTTAAGCCAGTCACTCAAGTCGGCATCTGTTCGTATTATTTGTTGGATCTTCTATACTATTTTGAAATTTCCCACAGCGATATTCAGGTTTCATTTATTAAAGCCTTCTTAAATGGGAAAAAAAATTTATTGCTTTTCGTTTTTCAACAAATTCCTTGTGGATAGACATAACTACCAATGCCACACGGTGAGAACTTCAAGAAGGTGAAGATTTTTGCCTTTAATTTATAAAAAAAAAAAAAAAAAAGATTCCACACACACACACACACACACACACACAAATACATATATACATTTAAATTATATTATTTGTTAGACAAACAGGTGGTGGTCTGTATATAATATATATATATATATATATATATATATATATATACACACACACACACTATTTTCACTTTAAATTTGACACTTTTCATACCAACTAGGACTTTTTTCAAAAATGAAAATGAAAAAGAAGTGCCTGTGGGGTTCCTAGCGAAAGCCAATAGAAAATCTTTAGTGCAGACAGCCTAGCATACGGCAAAAGAACATCTAGCATGAGAATAGAAGTGGAGGCGGTAACTGCAGCTCTCTGGTGGCTAAAGAACAAGATGCACACGTATTTCGTAATTGTAACAGACTCATTTCAGCACCGAGCCATCTGTATAGATAATCAGATCACCTAAGCCTGAATTGTCGTGAATTAACTGTTGGAATTCCACCTCCGTAGCACCTGTTGGCCACTCTCTGCACGCCCAGCCCGATGTGATCATAACCCTACACAGGTCAGACTTTTCCGCTGGTACTTCGACTCACTCCTCTCCTCGCGAGCTAGCTGAAAGAATGAAAAGGCTAAGGCATCCAGCGTAACACATTTGAGTGAGACGTAGTGTTCGCGTGGTAGACTGAACGTCTAATAAATAAATGAAATACGTTGCTGGCGAATAACTAGACGGTGGAGCTTGATCGGCCCTTAAGCCAGCAAGCGTCTGTAGTGTGAAATCTGAGAAATATACTGAATGCGTCCATCGATGGGTACAAGAAGAGATGTAAGTAGTGAAATAATAATTATGAGTGACCGGTAAATAGCACAAGTGACTCAGTAACACTTAGACAACGATAACTACCAACATACTGGCACGTGTTTTGAAATACTAATAAAAGTGTGCATGTAATTCAACGCTGTTTACGACCGTCAGCCGAGGACTTCAGTGTGTTCAGTTCCACGCGTGCAAGACACATGGATTTCGCAGGTTCCTGGTGACCACAGTGTTGCCGAGGGAAAGAGTATGAGAAGAGCAAGAAATCAACTCAAAGAGACACACTATAACCGTGGTATGTTAACTGTCAGTTATGTGTATTTATAATGGTAAATTCTTCTCTTATGCATTGAATATGTAAATGTCTAAGCGAGCCTATTGGCCTCGAGGTCGAATTCTTGGTGGTACCAGCAGCATCAATGGCATGATTTATACGAGGGCTTCCAGACACGATTACGACCGATGGGCCCAGTACACCAAGGACGAGCGGTGGAGCTTTAAGAACGTTTTACCTTACTTCAAGAAGTCTGAGAACATCATGATTGCTAGGCGTCAGAACTCTAATAAGCCTTGCTTTTTTTTTTTTTCTGTTATTATCAATTGTCCACTTTCTTAATTGGATAACAGCATAATTGTGTGTTGTAAAATAAAGCTAATTAACAATTCAACATGAATGTGATTATAGAAAAGCATTTCTCATTGTAAGCTCAGACTGAATGTAGCAGTTTTTTTTTTAATTTAAAGTAAATGGTCACAATGTTTGAGCGAAGCTCTTTAATAAAATGACTATACATATTACCGCAAAGAAAGTTTTAAATAGGACGTGGGGGAAAAAAGGGGTGAGGTTGGGGAGGGCAGGGAGGGGGGGGGGGGGGGAGGACAACTGCTATAAATTTGAAGTCGTCTTTTGATAATATATGTTTGTTTGTGTGTGTGTGTTTTTTTTTTTTTTTTTTGGAGGGGGGGGGGGGGGGGGGGGGGGGCACAGGATAATTGACAGACTAACATTAAAAAAACAAAGCTGTTCAACTAATGTAATAGACGATCCAAGAAGAGTGTAATCCGAGAAAAGTGTGGAAATCTAGCCAGCGAAAAACTTGTTCTGAGTGCTCAATGAACTTCTGCTCAACCTCAACGTAATGGGCTGCAGTGTGGAGGAACATTAGGATATTAATTATATGAATATTGTAATTGCTAAACCCTTAGACTGCAAAGGAGAGAAACCAACAGGAGTGTCAAGAAAGCAAAACAAGCATCCTGGGAACGTTTCGGCGAGTCACTTGCAGAAAATGAGAAAACAGCCAGCAGAAAATTTTTCAAAGTAGTTAAAAATATGCGGAAAAGAGATGAGAGCTACAACCCCACTGAAATAATTAATGATAAGACAGGAAGGCCATTGATAGATCCACCCGAGATAGCAGAAAGATGGAGGGAATACTTCAATGAGCGCTTTAATCCTCTAGGAGATCATCAGGAAAGAACAACTGAAGAGCACAGAGCAACAGTGTTAGAACCACACATACTAATGGATGAAATAGAAAAAGTCATTAAACAGTCTCCCAAATATAAAGCACCAGGAGCTGATAGATTACCAACAGAAATAATTCAAGCAGCAGGTGAAAGCAGCATCAGATGGCTTCACAGAATATTCAATGCAGCATGGGTACAGCAAACGGCCCCTATTGATTGACAACATGCAATAGTTATACCATTGTGGAAGAACAAAGGAAGCAAACGAGAATGCGGTCAATATCGAGGCATCTCTCTTTTAAGCCATGTTGGCAAAATGTATGCCAAGATAATTGAAACAAGACTGAGTCCAGTGATAGAACCACAGCTGGCAGAAGAACAGATGGGATTTAGGAGAAATAGAAGCTGCACAGATGCAATCTTCACACTTAAACAGTTAATAGAAAAGAACATTGAATACAATAACAAATTATTTGTGGCATTCGTAGACCAGGAGAAGGCATTTGACAGAGTCGACAGACAATTATTATGGAAAGTAATGGCAAGATATGGAGTAAGCGAACACCTCATCGAAGTGTGCAAAAGTTTATACAGGGATTGTTGAAGTGTAGTTGGAATAAATCAGGGAACATCTCATCCTTTCACAGTGACATCTGGAGTAAGACAGGGGTGTGTCTTATCACCACTGCTGTTTATCATCTACATCGACAGTATATGCAAGAATGCCAAGCCCATGAATGAAGATCTTAGTAAGATCAACAAATTACTCTTTGCAGATGACCAGGCCTTGATAGCAGATACAGCCATGAAATTGCAACAACATCTAACATCCATGAATGAAGAATGTAAAACAAATAATATGAGAATCAACACTGAAAAGACAGAAGTAATGTCAATAGGAAAAAAGAAAACAGATCTAAACATAGCAATAGAATACAAAGGCATTAAACAGGCATCTGAGTTTAAATATCTGGGAACTACATTTACCGAAGATGGGAAATTGGATAAAGAAATTGACATTAGATGCAGTAAAGCAAACCAAGTATTGGGACAGCTAGCCCCCCTCTTACAGCATAAGACAATCCCAATCAGCACAAAGGGGCATCTTATTCAAAGCATATTTATTCCAACTCTGTGCTATCAGTGCCAGACATGGTCACTCACAACAAACCATAAAAGAAAATTAGTAACCACGGAAATGAGATGTCTGAGAAGGGCTGTAGGAGTGACCATAAGAGATAAGATCAGGAATGAGATCATAATAGAACAAGTCGGCACAGAACCAATTCTGGATTACATACAAAGACAGCAAGTGAAATGGTTTGCCCACTTGGAGAGAATGCCTGGTGACACCATACCATACAAAGCATACATGGAAAGAGAAGAAGGACGTAGAGCACGGGGTAGACCAAGAACAAGATGGAAGGATAACATCAGAGAAACTCTACAACAGCACGATGTGCCTATGGTCGAGGCAGCCAGAAGAGCTAGAAACAGAACCTTATATCTCCCTCGACACCCACAGCGGTAAAAGAGGAAGTGAAAGAAGAAGAAGAAGAAGCTAAGCCCTTGTATAACTTGTTGTTTTTGCTAATGATTCTGTGTAAATACATCCCTCAGCATACCATGGTCAAAAGGGCCCTTTGTCTGTGAGCCTCTTGAATACTGTACCACTCAATGACAAACTCATTGAGGGCGCCCAGGCAGCTGGAATTCCTTACAATGCTGACTACAATGGAAGAACAATGGAAGGTAGATGGCATACTATCCTTGTATAATAAATTTGTGATAATTGTATGCGCTTATGATAATGCGACATTTGTCCATAATTGATATCGGGGAATGGTATTTGAAGTAACAGACGACAAACGTAATGTTGATTGTTTCGTATACTGGGTGCTGATTGGTCTATAAAAACATGTGTGATGCAGGGGTAAAATGGGTTATTTATTTACTGTTACTAATCAGTCTAGTCAGTGAACATTAGTCATCATCATCATCATCCTCATCATCATGCAGCAGGTCATTTGCAGAACGTCACTCTCATTCCGGTCTTCCTGAAAGTAACTTTTTCTTTTGCCAGCTCTCCTGCCTCGTGTACTTTCATATTCATGGAATCACTAATGTCGCTATCATCGTGTTGCTCGGCCCTGCCCTTCCTTCCTGGCACAATGCCTTATATTTTTATGTTTTCTAATCCGCCATGGCGCTTCACACTGGCAAAATATTTCAGCTTGCAGGACAAGATGATGCTTATTAGTCAATCTTCTTTGATATTCAGATCTAGTCAGTATTTCTTCTCTTCTTTGCCCAAGATATTCTGATAATCTTTCTATAGCATTTCAGCCTAAGAGCCACTATATTTTTCCTAATGACTGGGAGATAGTCCACGACTCACAGTCATATATTGTTATAGGGAAGATGCATGATCTCAAAACTTTGATGTTGGTTTCCTTGCTGGTGTTTGACCGTAGACTTTTAATCTCTTTATCTTTGCACTGCTGTTTTAATCCTCTTCTGTACGGGGGTATGCACGTGACATATACTTGTACTGCTGACTATTACAAGTGAGGCTAACTAAGTCATATCTCGAAGCAACTGCAGATAAGAGACAACTCCTGCATAAAGCCCTAGAGAGAGCTTAGGATCACAAAATGAAAAGAAGACGATCTGTGATGTCACAAGCTAAAATACAATAAGAGACTGTATGGGCTTAATAATATTGAGTGAAGAGAGGAGTGGGTCAGAATGTCCCAGCAAAAGTCAGACTTGTGTAGGGTTCCGATCCCTCTGGGTCATGAGTGCAGATCTTGGCCAGCAGGCCCTGCAGAATCAGAAGTTCAACAATTCATTCCTGACAATTATCGCACAGGTGATGTGATTAACTATGCAGATTGCTCAGTGTCAGTCGAAGTTCATGGTATTCTTAGCAAAAGTGAATGGACGTCGCTTAGGCAACAAAGCCTGACATATGACACAACAACATCTAGTTTTAGAATGGAGGTGGAGGCAGTGATTGCAGATTTGTCTGACTTGAGAATCAGCTTTACACGCATGTTGTAATTGTAACCGACTCGACGAACATGATGAGAAGTGTGGAGATCGGTATGTTTCGTAAAGAGTGCCAAGCATTGCTTCAGAAGTCCCAAGTAGTTGGCGTCTTTTAGATATTTTTCGAAGGAATGCCAGTGTATTAGAAAATGAGCAGGCAGATAGACTGGCTGGTTCTGCTCAACTTGATAGGGAACTAAGGCCTGGCAAGCTAGACGTTGTAAGGGCCCTCTGAAGGCAAGTTAACAGTGCGGAAGCAAGAATGAATCATCATGATGAGAATGGCATTGCGGGAAGTGACCGGGGGATCTCGTCGACGATTAGCACTCTAGGGAAAGGTGAGACAGATGTACAATCAGACTGTTACTGTAATTCTAGTTTTAAAAATTTACCATAAATTTTCTCTTCTTTACTTATGTCTGAACATCCTTGTATTAATCGTGTCATTGCTAAAACAAAAAGAAAGCTTTATTTTCTGGTAAATTTCGTAAGTAAAAAAAAAAAATTTGATTGATTGATCCAGCATGGTATGGCAGACCAATACTTTCTGTAGACCAAAAAGTTTCTGTTCCTAATCCATTTAAAACTTGATTAACCTCAGAACCCTGTCATCGATAAAACCGCTATGGCGTTGATCTATATATATAAAAATCAATGTTTGTGTCTTTGTTTGCCCCTTATATACTCGGAAACTACTGAACCGATTTAGCTTAAATTTTCAGGATATGTTTGTTTTGATACCGGATGTTGAACCATCATGGTTTGAAATTCAACCTGTCACTGTTAGAGATAGTTTGCTAAAATTTTTTGCCATAATATTCGAAACTAATATTTATAATTTTAGTGATTTCTAATTATAGCCACGTTAGTAATTGCGCATGCGCCGTAGTCAGAACGCAAGGCTTCCACCATTCGCCGGCGAGTTACGTGCAGCCAACGCCTTCTCTAATACATAGAGTAGGTCGTGGTACAGCAAACGAGACTATCTCTATATTTGCCACAATAACCATATTAAACACGATTTCTATTTTCTGTTTTTATTTTTTCAAACAACCTTCGAGGGAAGGGAGGGGGGCATCAAGGACTATCTCGACGTCGGCGCAGACATTGACTGCGAGATTAACTTCATTAACCGTGTTAGACACGTGCGATTTCTATTGTTGTGCCGTTTCATTAATATATCTGGAGTATCTGTCTACGAGAAAACAATTGCCTGCGGTTTTGAGTTGTGTTATAATCGGGACACAACACAATAACACCATTTAAACGGCCACTAATATAAAGACACAATTATAAGGTGCGTGTTCTAAAGTTGGAAAACCATACTATCTCTATATCTGTGCAGAGAATGATTGCGACATTAACTGCTTCAGGTCAAAATGGACGCTAGGCACGGCCACTTTTTTTTTAAGCCGTGGCAATTCTGCCAGGCGGTGGCCGTCGCATTTTTGCTCCATTTGTAGACTGGAAGGATATAGTTTCGTCGCCCAGCTTCTGAGTTAAGTGCATGGTGTGACACTGTGAGCTACGAGTGTTTTTCGTTAGCACAGGAGCGGAGCAACAATGGGGTGACCCGTTTGCTATGATGCTGAAACTAGAATTACCAGATTACCAGATTGCGACATTAACTATATTAGACACGTGCGATTTCCATTGTCTTTCTTTTCTAAAAACCTTTGATGAGGGAGAGAGTAGTAGGTGGATTTAGTTGTGGTGGTGGTGGGGGGGGGCGGGGATCAAAGACTATCTCTATATCTGAGCAGACAATGATTGTATTAGACACGTGCGATTTCTATTTTCTTTCATTTCCATTAAGCCAAACTATGCCACAGCAACGCGTGGCCGGGTACAGCTAGTAATTAATAAAATCACATGATGACATCTTTAAAGCAATATGTTTATTTTAGAATTTTACATTTTGTTGTTGTCTGCATGTGTCTTACAATACGACTAAAGCAGAGGTTTCAGGCAGTTTATTTGCAATGTAGAAGTGACCTGCGTGATGCTCGGGTTATGTGACTTTTTATATAGACGGTTCAGCGTCAAGAGGAAAAGGAAGTGTCTAGGGGTTCTTAGCAACACCTTATGGTCGACATTTGGTGCAGGAGAGCATTGCGTATGATACCACAATACCCAGCTTAAAAATGGGGGAGGAGGCAGTCACTGCAGCTTTGCTCTGTCCAGAGAACACGATACACGCGCACACGCGCACACACACACACACACACACACACACACACACACGTTTCATGATTGCAACTGACTTAGAAAGCATTGTGGGTTATACTTCGTGTAGAGTGGCATGCTTAGCTTTGGAGGTCAAGAGTGAAAAGCATTATCTGAATCTTTTCTCCAGTGTATGCAGGTATGTTAAGAAACTAACAGGCGGACAGATTGGCTGGATCTGCACAACTTCGTGCAATACTGATACTTGATAAGGGAAACGTGATTAACACCTTATGGGAGCACGTGTACAATTTGGAACAGCCTGTTAATCATAACATTCTGGTGAGAGTGACGCAGCGAGGAGTGATTACGGGCTCTGACCGATACTAGACATAAAATAAGACTGCTACTGGCGCCACAGATATTGGAACTCTGCGTTGGCTACTGATGATACGGACGGAGCGCTTATGGGAATACCCCGAGTGGCGTGCCATCAGTTCTTGAATGAAACTAAATCAAATCAAAGTGACTTGCAGTTTATCATTCGGTATGGAAACGCGTAGCGTACTTGACCTTTTCTACGAAACAAAATGTCATGGTTTATCTGAAATTGTGAAAATGGTCAAATCATAATGGACTAGGCATACGTAGGTAAGTCAGTCTGTTATTGATGGTTCCACGCTAGGAAGCGAACATACAAGTCAGGGTTGGTAGTCCTTGCGTCTATAGAGTGATACACTCTCTACCTTTCGCCTGAAACGTGCGACCATGACTAAATATATTTCATGATACTATGATAGTGAGCAGTTATCCTACATTCCGTAGACGCCACTGGATAGAATAAAGTGTTTTTACACATCCCTAGATAAATATTACCCCTTTCGTTCTGCGGCTATAATATAATTATTTCACAAGTGTGTAACCTTGACTCCCTGTTTACAGTAAACATACGGATAGGTTTATTCCATTATAGTGTACGTATTCTCCTAGATGTGCCCGTGTACAAATATAAATAATAGGTGTAATTTCAATGTACACGTTGGAGTGTAGAAATATCCACATAACATTCCAAAGTAAATTACCCGCCGACTATACAATGGTTGGCTGCAAGGACCTCTGTCACTTTCTGTCTCCGGTCTGGGGTGTACACTTTTAGACTGCTACTCACTCGCTTGACGCTGTCCTCCTACTTCTTGCTCTGTTAACTTCTACTGTTCTGTCCTGTACGGTTTTTAGAGGAATGGCTTGTCTTTAAGGTGGCTGAAATAATTCACTTGCATCTTTTTCATTTTTTTCCGGCAATATAATTGTGTTTTCAATGTTTCCTTTTTACAGAAAGAATACAATAAATAAAGCAAACAGAAAAACAAACACAAAGTAAAATTTAAAAACAAATAAAAGTGATACTAAGACAACATAATCATCATCATCATGTAGCAAGCCTTTTGCAGAACGTCGCTCTCATCGCAGTCTGCCCGAAAGAAACTCGGTCTCCCACCAGTTCTCCCTCCTCATGTACTTTCATATTCAAGGAGTCACTTATATCCTGTGCTCATTTTCGTGTTGTTCGGCCCCTGCTTCTCTTTCCTGGTACCATGCCTTCTGTTATTAAAATTATTATTTAGGAATTACATAACTGTATACAAAAGATGTAAATGTGTATATGTGATTATAAGCATAAAGTATACTCCAGATTATTTGTGTGTGTGTGATGTGACTATGTTTATAGTACACTTAAATTGATTTCGGTCATTTGTTTCCCTGATGAAACCTTGGGGCACTGTAACGTGCGTAGGCGCTTCATGCTGATGTGTGTCGTACCAAGATGAAATAGGCCAAGTAGGGGTAAAACAGTAGTTACTTCAATGCTTTCAAAAGGTAGAGCTCGAACGCTATGCTTAAGTTCCAACGGTTGTATTGATATATACAATCAGCAATGATCAACACAAAGGATACATATGCAATTAATAATCAAGCACATCAACCAAAGCTCGCTCGTACATCCATGGACTGATATGTCCTCACGATAGGTCGCTATCCGACCTTGAGATCCAGACAATCATCTTTGTATTCAGTTCAGCCGTCTGAATTAAATAATGAAGGTATACCGGCTTACTGCCGAAATGTAACATTCACCAGCTTCCTGCTGAGGTCTATCTTGGAGATACTTAAAGCGTGATCAAGGATCCAACTTTATACAACGTTTGCTTCCGTGGGATCCCGGGGTAAAGCGTCCTCAAGGATCCACACGTCCGTCTCCTTCGGACTATATACATCAACTGCCTTTGACAACAATACCTTCACAACGTTACGTATTGTTTTGACGTCTTATTTTCTCACTCAGTACTGGTGCGTTCTGGTGCACATCCGCACGCGACAGCTTTTCCCCCCTCCCCGAGGACGACCGAGCACTAGGACTTGTCGTAGTCTCGGTCGGAAAACTGGAGTCATGTCGCGGCAAACAGCACCAATACGAGAGAGCAAACAAGAACAAATACACAAACACTCACGTCTCAAATATTCATAAATACATTATTAAGGTGAATGCAAAATATAGATTCCTGACTTCACTAAGCATTATTATCAACATCATTATTGTTATCCAAATTATTTTTCATAACAGCATGCATTTTAAATATCATGTAAATTCAACAAACAAACATCAATTCCTTTCCAATGCATCTGGTGTGCGCGACAAAAAATCGGCCAAGACATTTTCTTTCCCTGGGCGATAAATAACTGTGAAGTTGAACGTCTGTAGAAACATTGTCCATCTTAATATGCGTGAGTTTTTGATGGGTGCTGAGTTCAAGACTTCGAGTGGACGATGGTCAACTGGGTGGCAGACAAACAACACACTGCAATGTTAGCGATGAAAAATCGCTAAAATAACGACCGGTACAACGGCAAGTAGCAGAGCATATACAACGAAAATGACGACTTGAACCAATCCAATCCAACGGAGAGTGGCACAGTCAGTAACGGTGACTTGATTATGATGAAGATCCAGCGACGAATGATACGGTCCCGGTGAAAATCCAACAAAGAGTGGCACAGAGATCCAGCGAAGAATGATTGATAAAGTCCAGATAAAGATCCAAAGATGCTAGAACAGACTGGCGGCGGCGACTTGATACATTGGACGATATCCACAGCTAGAGATGTGTAAAGATTGTGACAACTGGAATGTGCTTCGTGTACAACTTGAGGCAAAACAATGCGACAAAATGTCGTATCACACTTGTGACGAGAGGTCCCTCATTCTTTAAAGGCTGGCCTCCATTGTGACGTGAGTATGATTGATTGTGACGTGTTGTATACTTGACTAGGGGTGTCGCAATGTAACAAATGGCATCAACACTTCCAACACTTGCCACTGGCCAAGAGTAACACAACATGATGAATGCTGAAGCTTCCAAACGTAGCGGAACGAGAACTCTCTTTAAAAGTTCCATTTGTGTATTGACAAATAGCAATGATCAACACAAAGGATACATATGCAATTAATAATCAAGCACATCAACCAAAGCTCGCTCGTACATCCATGGACTGATATGTCCTCACGATAGGTCGCAGTCCGACCTTGAGATCCAGACAATCATCTTTGTATTCAGTTCAGCCGTCTGAATTAAATAATGAAGGTATACAGGCTTACTGCCGAAATGTAACATTCACCAGCTTCCTGCTGAGGTCTATCTTGGAGACCCGGGGTAAAGCGTCCTCAAGGATCCAACTTTATACAACGTTTGCTTCCGTGGGATCCCGGGGTAAAGCGTCCTCAAGGATCCACACGTCCGTCTCCTTCGGACTATATACATCAACTGCCTTTGACAACAATACCTTCACAACGTTACGTATTGTTTTGACGTCTTATTTTCTCACTCAGTACTGGTGCGTTCTGGTGCACATCCGCACGCGACAGGCACGCTGTGTTAGGTTTGATAATTTCCCATTTTGTTTCAGGCATCAGCAATGTACAAGTGACCATGTTAAATGGTGAACGTATGAGTACTAGCCAAGCCTTTATCCACCCAGTTCTCAACAGACCCAACCTGCACGTGGCCGTCAGAGCATTCGTGACTAGAGTAAGGCTGTATTTCAATGATGGTTATTAAATACATTTTACGTCAACAGTTATACATGGTTATGTACACAAGCTGTTTAGTTCAAATACTATACATAGAACGATTCTCAGAATTCCAGTGGCAAAGCAGAAAAGACATAGTGACATTCTAAAAGATGTGAACATCCAGGAAGATTGGTTAGTTAAAAGCATCTTGTCTGGTAAACTGGAAAATTTTGGCTATATAAAGCGCAACGGCACATTTATTTAAAAATAAAAAAATAAAACACAAGAAGAAAAAAAAAACAGAAGGTATATTACCACCAAAGAGGGACAAGGGTCGACCAGCACAAATACGAGCATATCTGTAATAGAAACCTTGGGTAGGAAAGCTTGGAGAACTGCAGAGACACGGAGTTTCCTTTAGACAGACCGCGTTGAGAGTTACGTTCTGCAAGGGACATGATAATGATGTACCCAGGAGAAACCAGACTGAATTTTTAGATCGCAATTTTATACGCATAAACTCACAAACACACACACACACACACACACACACACACACATATGTATATATATATATATATATATATATATATATATATATACACACCCACACACAGTGACCTTTGGAGATTGTGACGATGCATTTCCTTTTCTGCAGATGTGGATACTCTATTTGATGTTTTTGAACAAACGCATCGGTTATGCAGTATCGTCTTTTTAAGAAAATGTGATCAATAAATTAAAGTACAGAAATGATGAGGACGTCAAAGAAAATCTAGATTCTCCGCCTTCGCAATGCCAAAAGTAATATTTAGAAAAAAGGTGACAAAATCAATTCCAGTGGCCTTGACGGGTTCAGGGAGGGCTGTATTAAACGTACTGCCCTGGAATAGGTATTTCGTAAATTGCGTCTAATCAATAAGTTGATGTCATCAGACGTGTGTCTATCGCCATTTTTCATTAGCATGCTGAACAGGACGAACGACAAGGAGAAGAGGCAGAGCAGTAGAAGAGACAGCAATAGCACAAAATAACAACATCAGCAGCAAAAGTAACAGCAGCAGCAAGAATACCAGTGACAAATAAAGAAGAACAACAAAAAAGAATAAAATCGGCAAGCGTGATTAAGGACACACATTAACGATTCTTACAGTTCAAATGTGAAATTAATACCGCCCACTGTATATGAACAACCGTTCTGTAAGGGTGAAAACTTAAGACTTAATGAGACGTAACCGTCATTAAAAACGATATAGTACGGACTGCCTTATGGAAGTCTTCAGTGTTGACATCACCGAGCAATTCTTTTTATTATTTTTTGCACACGCTTCTTCTTGCAATTGCTTTAACTATCGTTATTGCTGGCTGCTGGAAATGGGGATGAACCACCGCTTTTCGGAAAGTCTTGAATACGAGGGTATCAGTTCTCAGTAAAATAACTCAGTACTTCCTTGTGTTTGCTTTTACAGATTAATTTCAGGAACAAGAGAGCTGTGAGTGTTGAAGTGATCAAAGACTTTAGACGATACATCGTCAATGCCAGGAGAGAGGTTATTCTATCAGCAGGAGTTGTGGGTTCACCTCAGATACTCATGTTGTCTGGTGTCGGACCCAGGCAACATTTGGAAGAGTTAAAGGTTAGCTAAAATGTCTGCCAGTGTCCCTCTGCCAACTGCAAAGTCTAACATATGTCCGATAAACCAATCAAAGGCTTGTCACTTGGTCGTTAAGGTAAGCCAGCTGATCTAATAGGCTACCGCAGCAACAGTACATATACTGTTTGAAAAAAAAAAAAAAAAACTTTTAGCTACTGAAAGAAACAAACATACTCACAATTTTGACATTCTGAATCTTCGTAATGCAGTAAGGGAAATTACTCAAATTTCACACAAGAATACCTTAGGGTTTCACCAATTAATTGACACCTTTATTTGCACCTGGGTCACAACAGTTTTTAAGCGTAGGCCTTTTCCGTTAGTTAGTTTGGTGTGTGGCCTCGTCTTGCGTGGATCAGTGACTGGCATCTCCTGGGCATGGATGCGATCAGATGACTGATGTGGTCCTGTGGGATGGCTGCCCACTCTTCCTGGAGTGCCTGGAACAGATCACACCATTGCCTGGAGCAACGTCTCGGAGACAAACACGTCTTTGCAGCTCATTCCACAAGTGCTCAGTCAGACTTATGTCTGCAGACAGGGATGGCCAGGGAAGGGTTTAAATGTTATTGGCAGCCAGGAACTGCGTGGTCAGCTGTACAGAATGGGGTCTGGCGTTTTCTTGTTGAAAAAGTTAGCTGTTAGCATCCTAAAATGGAAGCACATGTGGTCGAAGAGTTTTATGGACGTATCGTTGCGGATTCAAGCTTCCTTCAATGTGCACCAGTTGACTCCTTCTGTTGTAACTGATCATACCCCTACCATTACACCTCCACCACCGTGCAGCAGAGCTTCATCAACACAATTTTGAGCTTAACCTTCATTTCGTGCACGGTAGACCCTACGCCGTCTATCATGACGCTGCAACAAAAATATTCGTCACTGAACCAGACACGTCTCCACTGATTGTCACTTGCCCAGGGACAATGTTGGTTGGCCTAAAGAAGTCGATTTTGGCGATGGTGACGCGTAAGGACAGGTCCTCGGTGTAGTCGTCGAGCCAAAAGTCCAACATCATGCAGTCGGTTCCGAACAGTTTGATCGGACACATAACGCTCAGGAGGCAATGTTTGTGCAGTTGAAAACCTCTCTCTGAGGTGACGAAGCAGAATAGAGCGATTCTCCGCTGCTGTTGTCACTCTGGGTCGTCCACTGCTGTGTCGGTCTTCAACTAAACCAGTGGCTTAGAACCGGTGACAAAGTCGACTGAAGGTACTATAATGCACGTTTAGATGCCTGACAACCTGACTTTGACTTTCTCCTGCCTGCGATCGGCCAATAGTGATATTCCTTTAATTTATCGATTAAGGCGCCCTTTGTGACTGTTTGAAAATGAACTAATCGTTTTGGTGTAGCGTTATCCTTGTGTTCACCGCAAATTGTGTTGCTTTCTCGTGTGCGCATCGAGAGCTTTGCTCACATTTATGGTCTTAAAAACAATTGACCACTGCGTTGTAACGATTATAAAAACCCACTCTATTCACGCCCACATGTCCACTGGACTGGACACGGTAAACAATAGGGTAGGAATAAACTCCACAGGGAGCATGTACAGCAGGGATCTACCAATCATCAGTAGAAGTAATCTCTCGTCGACAAACGTTTCGGCCCACGATCTCCTAGACGTTCTCAGAGAGTGGGCCCACCTGAGTTCATGAAGCTCAGGGTTGGTTTCCCTGCTGCACGAATTACCGAATGGTGTTCTCTTTTCGGATAGGAACAAGACGACTTGGTGATTTTGCAGAAGGTACTGTGAGATAAGAAGTCGTCGCGGTAGCCTAATTAGAGCAGTCAGCATACCTGGACGACCGAGCGACAAGCTTACGATTGGTATACCGGACACGTGTTGGACTTTTGTTAGCAGGTGGCAGAGGAACACTGGCAGACAATTCGGACACGATGGACTTTCAAGGGATGAGAAACCCTTTTCAACTAGGCACCCGGACCAGCTCACCGAGGCCCGTCCCCTACGTTGTTCCGTTGCATCCAAAGCCAGCTCGAGGCCCTCTCAGCAACCTCGCCCAGCCGCTTGAGTGTTCGTTTCCGTTCATTACCGCGCAATCCTAGTTCTTTAATCACATTGTAGAGTGAAGTGGAGACGAGACCTCTCGCTCCCACTTCGACGGAAAAGACACGTACTGTGTACGCCTCGTCTCTCCTCAGACCGGCTGCTAAATCACTGTATTTCTCGAGCTTATGCATGTGATTTTCGTCCATACGCGACTCATACGGGACGGTCAGCTCAATCAGGATGAGCTGCCGTTTCTCCGCAGAGTGGAGAACTATGTCAGGTCGCAGGCTGGTCTTCCGGATTAACTCAGGGTACCTTTCATGGCCCGGCAGATCAACCGCCAGTAACCAGTCCCTCGCAGAGTCTAGCACAGATGGAGCGTATGCGACTTTGTTGATTTTACCATTTTGAATCTGCCCAGCCTTGAAGAAACGTATGCGGACGACGGTAGGACTGGCTCTAGCGTTAGCCCGCATCCTAGCCTGTTCAACAACGGCAGCTAACTCTTTTAGCACCTTGTTGTGTCGCTAGGTATATCGGCCTTGACCTAGGGCTTTCCTGCATGCGGACAGGACGTACTCAAGCGTCTGCTTAGCTTTGCACAGCGGGCAAGTCGGATCGTTAGTCGCAGACCATTTAACCATGTTAACACTGGACGGTAATACATCGTACGCCGAATGAACGATAAAGCTCAGTCGCAACGGGGTCATTCGCCAGATCTCGACCCATTTGAGTACTCTTGGCAATGCGCTCTCCAGGCTGACCCAATGGCCCTGCTGCGACTCCTGGGCTGCTTTCTGGAAACGAACCTCGTTTTCGTTGTCCTTAACTTGTTGCATTACCATGTCACGGCGTTCTTTGGCTGCGGCTTTTGACCAAAAATTGACCTTCCCGTGACCCAGGCCTCGACGGTCGGTTTGAGTGTATCCCAATATTTCCTTCAATTTTAGTGCATTCTGGGCAGATTCGATCGCATCGAGGACTCTCCACTTTTGACCAGTCTTTAGAGCGGGCTGGACAGCGATGACATTTGGGTCTGAAGACTCGCGCAAGAGCATGGAGAGTCTTACTTTGCCAACTTTAAACTCTTCAGTTATCGATTTGAATGGGAGTACCAGCTTAACCTGCTTGCAGTACAGAGCCACGTCGGTCAGACAAGGCGGTGCACCAATCCACTTTCTTAAGGCTGTGTTGATTTTCCTCTCCATGGTTTCCACTGCAGTCATCGTCACCTCGTAGACTAACAGCGGCCAGAGGAGCTTTGGAATCAACATGAATTGGAGACACCATACCTTGAACTTCCCGACCAGCCTGCAACGCTCGATCGCGAGCAGGCCTGTAGCCAGTGACTCGTGTATTCGCCGGACCTCCGCTCTATCTGATAACTTCGAATCGTAAACGCGACCGAGGCTCTTCACCGGTTCCTCCAGAACCGTGGTGATCTTGTTCCTTGCCACCGTAAAACTGGTTGCCGCCACCCAACCCTTAAGGATTGACAGACTCCTCGACTTCTGCGGTTTGAACTTGCATACCGCTCCATTGGACCACTGCATCCAATCTTTTCAGGATCGTGCGGGCAGACTACTCGCTGCCCGTGATAATAGTCGTTTCATCCATAAAGGCACGTAGTGGAGGCATCCAGTGTTCCCCTATTTGAAGGCCCTGTCCGTAGCCGGCCGCCCCGTCCAACATGATCTGCATGGCCATGACGAACAGTATTGGTGAGATCGTACAGCCCATAGCTATCCCAATTTGTAGCTCAGTCCACCTCGTGGTAAACGTCGAGGTAGAGAAGCGCAAAGCGAACTTAGAGAAATATTGCTCGATCATATCATTGATCTGTGTCGGTACGTGAAACATGCGAAGGGCTCGCCACAGTAGCCTATGGGAAACTGCCCCATAGGCGTTGGCTAAGTCCAACCATATCACGTGCAATTGAGTTCTCTCATGCTTCGCTCTCTGAATAGACTCCCAAATCATGGTCGCGTGTTCAAGGCACCCAGGAACGCCACGGAATACCACCCTTCTGAACACTCGTATCGATGTACTTGTTAGCCATCAGATACTGTGTGAGCCGGCGAGCCATGACCGAGAAGAATATTTTTCCCTCAACATTCAACAGCGAGATGGGCCTGAATTGGGAAAGACTCTTCGAGTCCTGCTCTTTGGGAATGTAGACCCCATTCGCTTTTTGCCACTCCGGACATATGTGTTTGTCGGCTCCACGCTTGTCTCAACACGACGTGAAGCATTCGTAGGATTTTCGGACAACGCTTGTAAAGAACGTACGGAACACCATTCGGACCTGGAGCAGACTTGCCACTGGCCTTTTTCACAACTTCCTCAACTTCAGACCAAAGGGGAGGTATCATTTTAAATGGTACCTTCGGCAACTCAGGCTGCTTGAGGCCGCTAAGGATCTCTGGATTGTCATCGAGAGGCTCTCTCCTTTTTTTGTCAGAGTACATTTTGCGTAAATGTAACTCAAGCTCTTCTTGACTGACAACCAGAGTCCCAGACTTCAGTTGCTCGAATAGACCTCAGGCAAACTGACACGGGTCCCTAAAGAATTTCTCTCGCTCCCTTTTGGTTCTTCGTCTGTTGGTACAGAAACGCTCAGCGCGACAGAGGGCACTGTGTTTGTTCTTTAAATGCAACCAAACTTCATACAGCCCCACCCGTTCGCTGCCTGTAGCGGCTTTGAACGTTTTCTTAGGGCATTCTTGTCTGCCCGACACTTCAGAATGTCCCTCTGTCTCCTGCTAGTATTCTGCCTGGCACCCGGCTTTGCCTTTTCCACTGTCCCGAACTCACGGGAGCAGTGTTCATATATTACAACACCAAATTTTTTAAGCTTGTCGCCTAACGAATTCTTTTTTAAATCATGTTTGAGTATCTCACATAATGTACCCTCCAACTTACACCACACCACCTTATCGCTCGCAGGCGGAAACCTGATTTTAGAACGCACTTCCTCGGGAATCATCACCTGTGCGCCTCCGCAGTCAACGTCATGGGCCTCTCCGGGCGAGTGGGGTTCACCCTGTCCGTCGTTCCCTAACGACTCAGAAACTACCACAGGAGTAGTAGTTTTGCGACAGCGTTGAGTCTGCTTTTCAAATACCCGAGTACGATATTTTATTAACAATTTAAAAAAAAAATGCGCCATCAAATAACTATGCTTTATTTGCAGCCATTACTGCAACAAATCTCTCAGGCTCTAGTCGCGGCAAATTGACACTTATTTCAACATCATTTCTGAACTTGAAACAAGGAAGATTTGAAATTATACACAGCTGTCACGATACGAAATGTTTATTGATTGCAACGACTGTTTTCACCGTCAGTGTACTGGAGGTAGATACACATAGGGACGACTACGTCGGCCATATACCACAGAGTCGATAATTTGCATACGTTACCTTTCATACAATGATGAACCACAACACTTCCAACGTAGACACTTCAATGTTTACAACCCCTTACACTGACAGCAAATAAACGATGTTCGGTTGTGACAAGACGTCGGGCTAAAGAAGATGGCCAGCTTTCCTAGGGACTCACAGTCACGCCTAAGCAGTCATTCAACTATTGTAGATTAACTCTGCATTCACCCTTCCAGCACCGTCAAACACACTATACCAGGATAGAAAACAGGACTGAATTATGTGGATCTTTCCAAGTTTAAACAATCTGTTTCTCTTTCGAGTGCTCGAGCTTCCCCACACATAACTCTTGCTTTCTCAACGCTGGCACTCTTCAGCTAGCTTGAACGCTTGCCTTGAGTTATTCGTTATAATTCGTATTTATACTATTCAGCCAAATTATATCACGTACTTTGTGTTAGTATTAAATCTCATTTCCAAATGCGAACATTAATTAAAATGGAGAAAATTACTCATTACATTAACAATAAGTTAATATAAAGAAAGTTTCGTTGAATTCTACATGGATGCACAGGTAAGTCTGTAAGAAGTGGGATGGAAAAACCAGCGGAGTATACATAGGCAAGGAGTGGAGCTCCACAGATTTATCTCACTTGAGACCGATTTCTCTTTTTCAGATTGAGGGCATGATACTCCTCTCAGTTAGAGCTCGTAGGCTCACAAGGTTTTTGATGGAGAACAAGTACATTTCGTCAGTCCAGGAAGGTAGCATACTTCTGCTCCCTGGATACATAGAACATGCATCCGTGATCAGAGAGGATGTATAGCGAGCAAAGAGTGAGAAGACAAAGCTGCAAGTGAACTGGTTAGAGCTGATCAACGCTTACTTGCCAGTGCTCCTTCAGCTATTGGGGCAGGCCTTTTGTATATCTTCCGTTCCACCAGAGATGACAATCATGATCCAACAATACTTTTCTGGATTGTCATTACATTATATACTTCGGCAGGAGTCCTAGCTATTCTCTCTCTCTCTCTCTCTCTCTCTCTCTCTCTCTCTCTCTCTCTCTCTCTCTCTCTCTCTCTCTCTCTCTCTCTCTCTCTCGGAACGACATATGGCGTACGGCTTCTCTGCGACTGAGCTCCCTTCTCAGATGTACGTACGACGTATTAACATCACCCGAAAACCTAGCTAAGTCAGGCAGGTCTACTGATGCCTCATGCCTCTTGTGCGGAGCGAGATAGACACAGGAACATGGATATTTGCGTGCAAAACGGAATATGCCAGGGTCTGTTCATATGGAGGTACAACATGGTATTGAGGAAGTTGACCGACATCATGGACACAGGAAACAGACCAACGCGCCAACCAGACCTAACATCCCCCTCATGCACTTCGTCAAGTCAGAGTAGAAATCAAATGGTAAGATCAGTATCTTTGCAAACCTTCTAATCATCTACAATTGTGCTACTGATTGACAGCTAGAGGTAGACCTAAGTGGTGTCGACATGTACCCCGAATCGATCCGGAAGATGAAGATGAGACCAGACATGGTGCTGCAACTCCTTGAAAGCTGGTCGAGCTCAGAGTCTCATGTGAATTTCGGTTGATGAACAGCATTTGTGGAAGATGGAGTACTGTGATATGGTAGTTAGTCTGAAGTTTGAGAAGGGGTACGTCGTTCGCCTCTTCGACGTCGAGGTAGGTGCCAGAGGGTTACTCGATAACTCCGCTTACGGTGTCCCGAGGCAAATTGTAGATATGGGCACTGGGGCAGTTGGGCGTGGGGCCGAGAAAATTCGTGCTAGCTATGAAGTAGTCGGAACGAGTGTAGGGGCAGATCTCGGTAAACTGGCTTGGCCTCCCAGTGGAACATAACTGTCAAGTCTCTGACACGCCAAAGTTTTTCCAATCAACTTCCGTCCGGTCACTGTCTATCTCATCAACCTTCGTCTGATGAACAAACTGTCCAGTATGACTCATGCAAGCAGACTGACTATTCTGCCAGCCTCGACCGGTAAACTCAGAATGTAAATGTCCAAGTGCCAACCGCCAATAGTACAGTGGAAGTCCAGACTGTAGAAATTACTACATGATACCGAGAAAGGAAGGCTCCTACTTGCAAACACGAGTCTAGGCCTTGGGAAGAGAGGGTTTCTTTCGGGGATGTATAGGTTCAAAACGGTTGCATGTGAGGCAACATTGCGGCTTTTTGTGCTATAGCGATCCATTTAAGAGCCGGAGAAAAGTGTGTTAGCATTTGTGATCAGCATCGCTCCTGTCAGTGCAGGCTGCCTGGTTGTCGGTTTGAGTACGAAAAAACGCTAGGGGAGTCTCTAGGCCCGAAACTCATGACCTGGGTCGCCCCGCCTCCGTTAAATATTTAGGTGATAAAGGGACCGAAACATTTGTTGATGGGTAATCCTACTGATGATCGGATGGCTCCTGTTGTATATGCTTCCACTATGAAGTAATTTCTACAAGGCAGACTAAAATATGGTGTGTTTTTTCTTTTTTTCTTCAACAGATCCCTGTTGTTGCGGATCTTCCAGTGGGTCAGAATCTCCAGGATCATGTAGTGTTTGATGCGGGCGTTAGAATCAGAGAAGCCCTAACTACTCCTATAATGGGTATAATTACCTGGTATACAAAATTGCAATACTTGCTGTTTCGATCAGGTATATGCTGTCAGTCATGCGTCTTTATTATTATTTTTTTTTAATCGTGTTTACTGGACAATGCTAGTTATCTTGTTTTTCAATGCCGAGTGGCTCTTGTACAATGTTAGCATGCTATGTTATTTCATTAGGTTCTGCGCTGATTTTTGAACCATTTTAAAAAGCATTCTTCCTTCCCTCCTTTGATTAATGAACTGTTTTAGCTCCATTCAAATTAATTAGCAGCTTGTTTTGTTATCTGATCACTTGGCTAGCTTTATTGCTTAGGATGTTTTTCTGGTAAACTGTTACGACTAATCTGCTGATTTCTTTTGATGTATCACATTTATTTACTTTGTTTCCCTGGCGTATGAACTAATGCCAGTCGACAAGGCACCTGATGATGAAAATTTATACGCTTCACAATTTTTCAAATAAATTATTTTATTTTTTTGCCCTCTACACATAATGACAGTAATAATAAAAATTATTACACATTATTATGTATTATTATGTATTACTATTACCACTTTAAAATGTTAAGTCACCCTCCGATTGATAACTATCATGGCATCACTATCTGATGATGTTGTCTACGTTAGCAGTTCAGACTGACACTACTCTTTCTGTTCTGTCCAGTTTGATTAAAAAAATACCGCGCGTGTATCCTACAAAAGCCTTTATTTGTTCTTGATGAATTAGGTTGCTTTAATTCCTAACGTTTTCAATACAGGTCCCCTGAGCTCAAACAATGGCGGCAATGAAGTGATATCCTTTAAGAGTACCACCAAGGAAGCAAAAGAGAAGGACTGGCCGGACGTACAGATAAATTATGTTATGTACAAGCCAGGCAGTGTCTTCATGGACACTGTTAACTTTGCAGAAAAGGTACACAGTCTTAACTGTGTGTATCGTTTCTTTCGGGCTTCATTGTTGTAAACTTATGTTTCTGCGATTCTGTCAGTAAACATTAACACTTTAATAAAGCATGATTACATAAACAGTAACACTTTGATAAAGCCTGATTACTTAAACATTAACACTTTAATAAAGCATGATTACACAAACAGTAACACTTTAAAAAAGCATGAATACATAAACAGTAACACTTTGATAAAGCATGATTACATACACAGTAACATTTTAATAAAGCATGATCACATAAACAGTAATATTTTAATAAAGCATGGTTACATAAACATTACCACTTCTATAACGCATGAATACATAAACAGTAACACTTTAATAAAGCATGATTACATAAAGAGCAATATATTTTGAAAGACAGTCTACATTCTTTAGTCTGGTCAATTAAAGAAGAAAACTGTAGTTCCCCATGACATCGGGAAAATGGAAGGGAAAGAGATTGTTTGGTATCATGACATGTGCTTTTTTTTTTTTTTTCTCAAAAGGACTTGGACTTGTTTTCATTAATTTTTGGCAAAATTAAATACTCAAAATTTTAAAACAATAAATGGTGGTCCAAAAGACGTTGTGTATGGAAGCTCGCTCTCCTTCGAGATACGCCTAGCCAGATCAAAGGGAGACATAACAAACAGGAAACACCAAGGAAGAAGAAGGAAGACATGCACCAGTGACAACAGGACAAGCGGTTTGATTCGGGTGGAAGCATCAAGCCCAGAAATGGCACAAACACTAAAATTTAGTCACGAAAGTGACGCAAATAACCCAGATCACAAATATAGGCGGAGACTGCTAGCAGCCTAGGCTAGCTAGCAGCAGCCTGAACGTGGTCGAGCTTTCTTTTTTTTTTTTTTCTCAAAAGGACTTGGACTTGGACATCATGACATGTAACAACTAACGAGTCAGAAACAAAAGCAGTACGTGTGACAGAAGGATGTGGACAGACATGACTGGCCGCATCAGATCGCATAAAATAGGAAATATTAGCAATAAAAAGACTTCATTTTGATTTAAATAAATGTTTAATTTTTGCCAGATAATGCTTCCATCTAAAAATCACAATGTATATTATTAGACCAAGGCCGACTTGGCTGACAGAGACAGAGGAGACTATGGCTTTACGTGTCTGGCAGCAGTGCAAAGGCCAGAGAGCAGAGGAAACATCACCTTGAGATCTGTGAATCATTTTGACTACCCCATCATCCAAGCTAATTACCTGGACAAGCAGGCAGATATAGAATCCATAATACAAGGTTATTATTGTGTCCATCTATATATCTATCAGTCTACATACTCGACTGCCCCCAGCATACTCTAACTGCAGTTTAGGCGACTTTCACCTACATTCATTCAATCATTCAATCAATCATTCATTCTTTTTTTTTGTTGGGGGGGGGGGGGGGGGGGGGGGGGGGGTGCACTTTTAGTATGACAAAAACACACATGTTAATTATATGTCAAATATGTTAAAATTGGTAGTTCATTTTAACGCAGTTACGCCAGACTCGCCTCCACACAAAAAATGGGGGGGGGGGGGGGGGGAAGAGAGCGTTCATGAGGTCAGCCTCCCTCCCTCAACAATGTCTGATGGCGCAAGGGGAAAAGGGGGTGGGGGGTCAAACACAGTTTACTTGCCCAGTAGTAATGCAAATCAACTATTATTATTCTTAAAATGTTACTGATTAAATATTGAGCCCTTGGAGATGCTCCCTAAAAACTGTTAGGGCCTCAAATGATTCAGCTTTTTTTGACTGGAAGATAATAAGTATTTGTGCTATGATTATTATATGGTTAAAGGAAAAATAAAACATAATATATTTAAAATAATAATTGGAAATAGACACAATAGTTGAGTCAACAATTGAAATCGCAGCACTCGGGGAATTCTCGTGCATGCTCCGTCCTCATCTTCAGCAGCCAACGCAGAGTTCCAATACTGATTGTACCGGTCAAAATCTGGATAAAAGTCCGTCTGGCCTTTACCCTGAGTGTAGTAAGACGGCCAGACCCTCTGGTTACACCCAGGTGCAGAAACAATATTAAAAGGGGGACGTCTGCGTATGGTGCGGTGGAAGTGGGTGCCTATAATCTCAACAGATTTGTTGCCATCAACCTCCCCCACCCCCGTTTACCCTGCCTAAAAATGTGTTGGATGGGAGTGCTCAGTGTGCTCCAACCTTCCTCTTCCCACCCCAGGTTTTGATGTCTGTGTGTCAGAGGCTACATGCATAGACAGCTATAGGGACGTCTGGGGCTGCAAAGTCAAAGTCCATAAAAAAAAAAAAAAAGTTCGACAACGTTCAACCCGCTGCTGACCAGCCGAGGCCCCCAACAGTCTCCGGTTATATTTGTGGTCTGGTTTATTTGCGCCACTAATCATTGATTGTTGCACTCTCACTACTGCTGTTGTATACACTCGCCAGTTGCTCCAACTCTTTAACAAACAGCTGAGAAGCATCTTCATAGCGGATACCACTGGACATGTTGCACTGTTTTTTGACTGCTTCAAAACATCATTGACTTCACCGACTCGCACACAATCTCATTTTCCCTCTCATGTCATGGACACTACAAATATCTGAATCATAGCGCCTTATTATGTCTTTCTGGTCACTCTGCTCAAGCTAGTGAGCAAGCAGATTCATGCCTTTTTTCTCTCGTACTCGGTATATCATTTTTTTTTGGGGAATTATGAGACGTGTCAGCAGCTCGGCGTAAATTCTAACTCATAATTATTACAAAAGAATCTGTTCGTTCTTTAAAAAAATTAAGTTCATATAATCATAAATAATTTCTTTTGATACCATTTTAAGACATTATTGAGAACATATTTAAAAATAAATAGTTCAGAAATATCAAACATATGGTGGGTATATATCGTGTCCAGTCATTGTCCCATGCAAACCCTACTAGTCAGACGTATGATTGTGAGAAACGTTTGTCCTACAGGTATCGAAGAATGCAAAAAAGTTGTCAACTCCAAACCAATGCAAGATATCGGCGCAGAGTTCACGGAAAAAGAAGGAACTGAATCGGCCTGCAGTCAGTATAAATTCGACTCTCACGAGTACTTGGAGTGCATTGTTAAATTCAGATCACACTCCAATTATCACCAGGTTGGAACGTGTAAGATGGGTTGCAAGGGAGACCCATCGGCTGTCGTGGACAGTGAACTGAGGTATGACTGCAATGTTCATGCATTTGCCTGTTTCTGATGACTTATTCCCTGATCATGTATTATTTATTTCTAAACAAGTCAGTGTTGATTTGTTCTTTGTAAATAGTTTCTGTTTATTTATTTAGATACTTTCCCCCGTTCATTTTATGTTCCATCTCCCATCAATGATTTGTCCTTTCCTGTTTCCCTGAGTTGTAAAACGCAATTATCAGTTCACACTTATTTGACATTGCCATTTAGCTGTTAACATTTTGTGTGTGTTATCTATATTTTATGTGCTTTTCATCATTATGTTTTCTATCTATTTTTCACTGCTATATAATGGGTATATTTTATTATGTGCCGTATTAGCAGCTGTATATCAGTGTATTATCGATCCTTCTTTCCTGAACACTGGCATTGCGTGAACTGCTATTACTACACGACAGTTATACAGTTTGGATCAGCCTGTTAATATTTGTATACTATCTCTAAATCTGTGTATGATTCTTTTATCTGTTGATGTGTTCAATAAAATTAGCTTTTCTTGTTTTACCAGTTCATTTATATAAATAGTAGTCTTGTCTATTCCTAGAGTACAAGGGATATCCGGACTTCGTGTGGCCGACGCTTCCATTATGCCATGGCTAGTCTCTGGTAACACAAACGCTCCAACAATTATGATTGGTGAAAGGGCCGCTGACTTGATTAAAGGTGTCTAATTTTCGCTATGAAACGAGTAGGCTAGTTTGAAGTGCTCGATATATAATACAAAAGTTGTGAACAATAAATATTGATTTGATTTTTATGCTGTTATATATAGACAGTATAGAAAACGAGCAAACACACTTTGCATTCAGCCTAATTGATTCCTTTATATTTCTGTATCATTTTGTCCCAAAATGTCTATTAAAGGTACCGGTACTCAACAGAAAATGTCTAATAAAGGTGCTGGTACTCAACAGAAAATGTCTAATACAGTTACCGGTACTCAACAGAAAATGTTTTAAAAAAGGTGCTGGTTCTCAACACAAAATGTCTAATACAGGTGCTGGTTCTCAACACACAATGTCTAATACAGGTGCTGGTTCTCAACACACAATGTCTAATACAGGTGCTGGTTCTCAACACACAATGTCTAATAAAGGTGCTGGTTCTCAACAACAACACAAAAAGGTGCAATGTGGTTCTCAACACAACACACAATGTCTAATACAGGTGCTGGTTCTCAACACACAATGTCTAATACAGGTGCAGGTGCTGGTTCTCACAATGTCTAATAAATGTGGTTCTCAAATAATACAGGTGCTGGTTCTCACACAATGTCTAATACAGGTGCTGGTTCTCAACACACAATGTCTAATACAGGTGCTGGTTCTCAACACACAATGTCTAATACAGGTGCTGGTTCTCAACACACAATGTCTAATACAGGTGCTGGTTCTCAACACACAATGTCTAATACAGGTGCTGGTTCTCAACACACAATGTCTAATACAGGTGCTGGTTCTCAACACACAATGTCTAATACAGGTGCTGGTTCTCAACACACAATGTCTAATAAAGGTGCTGGTTCTCAACACAAAATGTCTAATACAGGTGCTGGTTCTCAACACACAATGTCTAATACAGGTGCTGGTTCTCAACACACAATGTCTAATACAGGTGCTGGTTCTCAACACAAATGTCTAATACAGGTGCTGGTTTCTCAACAATAAAGGTGCTGGTTCTCAACACACAATGTCTAATACAGGTGCTGGTTCTCAACACACAATGTCTAATACAGGGGCTGGTTCTCACACATGTCTAATAATGCTGGTTCTAATACAGGTGCTGGTTCTCAACACACAATGTCTAATACAGGTGCTGGTTCTCAACACACAATGTCTAATACAGGTGCTGGTTCTCAACACACAATGTCAATGTCTCTCAACACACAATGTCTAATACAGGTGCTGGTTCTCAACACACAATGTCTAATACAGGTGCTGTTTCTCAACACAAAATGTCTAATACAGGTGCTGGTTCTCAACACAAAATGTCTAATACAGGTGCTGTTCACAAAACAAAATGTCTTATAAAAGTGCTGGTACTCAACACAAAATCTCTAATAAAGGTGCTGGTACTCAACACAAAATGACTAGTAAAAGTGCTGGTACCCAACACAAATTGACTAATAAGGGTGCTTGTACTCACAACAATATTTTTCTTAAAAGTGCTGATACTCACCTCAAAGTGTGTCTCAAAAGTAGCACTAAAATATGTCAAAATACGTTGCTAGTACTGCATACTAGTGTGTGAGCCTGAAAACAAGCCCTGCACTTTTTATTAAGAAATAACATTTGTGAAGCGCATTCAAGAAAGCAGGAGATGTGTACATATTCTGTAATTGTTGATGATGCTGTCGAAGAGCTGTGATGACACTCCTCACTAATCCCAGGCTGAAAAACCAGTATCAGTGTGTCGCCATACATCTTCATTATTAACGTAATGTATACCAGTACTGTCTTTTCTTCCCCAAGTTACTCCAGTACCATGTTTGATAGACGTAAGAGTGTTCGGTGTTGTCTTTCTAAAGCACTGTGTAAACGTTTCTTCTTTTCTTAAAGGTATTTTTTTTCAAAAATATTGTTTCTATATATATATATATATATAACGTCTTCTGCTCGTAGTTCTGTGCTAATATTTCTTTACCGTGTATGATATAATCACTAATGTAGAGCTCTGGGGAAAAACTAAATAATGTTTTAGTGGACCGAGAGGTTAAGAAAAGTCGCTGGTGTTGACAGACTTTGAGAAAACCTGAGTGCAAAATAACTACAGTGTCTTTGCACTGGAACCCGCAGTCTCATAGAAATAGAGAGAGATGACAAAGGCATATTGAGATGGAAGCTAGAGAGTGAAGTAAAAAAAAAAAAAAAAGATGGGGAGAGCTGCATACGATAGCGAAAGATAGAACGACTTCGAATAGGTTAGTTAAGGGCCTGTGCCCTATTGGGGGATAGAAAGTAGAAGAAATGTGTGAGCACTTGTCATGGTAATGCCCTCATTGCAGCCTTAGTCTCCATTGTGAGGCCTGTGGTTGAACATCAAAAGTCTCACTCATCCCATTGATTTTTTTTTTATTCTACGCTCACGGTGACAGCCGATACCTTTCGTTTGTCTCGAATTATTGATTTATTCTTTTAATTATTTTGTTATACCTTTGATAACACACTTGCTAAAGCCTTTTCTTGCAAAAGAAACTTTGACACAACATGCAAACATAAAAACTGACGATGTGAAGTTGTCACACGAGGACTATGGATTAGCTGTCCAGACCTATTGAGTTCAGTTCTGGAAGGCCCACAAATAATATGCAATATTTTGCTACGTAAAAAAAAGTGCCATCCTTTCTGAAGATTCTTCAACGTGAGAAATGATCCACGCATACAGCATAGACCTACAGCTTAACTATACAGTCACAAGAACAATCCCAGGCATAGATAGAAAGGCTGAAGAACGTGACTTATGTGACTGCATGCAAAGAACCTTGAACATGTCTACAACTCTTATCAAAAACCCGAAGGGAAACACGTATACACAGATGGATCGTTAGAGTGAGCAGAAACAAACAGAGGAGCTGGATAGGTCATCATGCTACAGGATTGAACCACAGACGAAACGCCGTGAGCCTCCGAAAGACTTTCAACATACTTCTGAGCAGAGCAGCAAGCAATTATTGATGCAGCCAAAGTGCTTGAGAAAAAAAAAATTAAAAACAGCAAAATTAGTTTTCTTTATGACTGCATGTCAGTCCTCCAGGCGACTCAGAGGAATCCACGAGTCAACATGGAAAAAGAACTGACCAGCCAGCGAAATAGACTCTTAGAAAACAATCAAATCGTTCTCTAGTAAATCCCGGCATACCAGGAAATGAGTTACCAGACAGACTTGCACAAAAAATGAAACAAAGGAGAAACATCATGCAGATTCATTTTCATTACCAGAAATTAAAACACTCCTGAAAAGAAAATACAAGGAGCTGTGGAGAGAACAAACTAACAGTAAACATCAACAAGACCCCATCAGCAGACTCAACAGAAAGCAACATACAACAGTTTTCCGTCTACGATCAGGACACTGCAGGCTTAACTACCACATGCAAAAAAATAAAGATAGTGTGTCCCCACACTGTGACTGTCAGACAGGACCCCAAACACCTGAGCACATTCTGCAGACCTGCCAACTCTACTTACAACTTTGAAAAGACACCTGCCCCCAAGAGCAAAATGTGCAGAGTAAGCTATGGGGAACCATAAAGTCTCTGCTGCTATCATACAAGTTTATAGAGGCAACCCATATGATGGTCTGATCTGAGCATACGAAACCGAACTCAAAGAAAAAGATATCCAAAAAGAATTGGAGTTGGATCAAAGAGCACTTTCACTTTATATACTCAAGTATCAGTGCCCTTTTGATACTATAACACGTATATTCCCAGATGGTTTTGCTAAAGAAGCCACATACGTAGATACACAGCACACAATCACACACACACACACACACGCGCGCGCGCGCACACATAATGGAAGTGGGTGGAGGGATATACATTACACGCCCGGAGGGCAGCGCGGAGATACGATGTAAACGGCATGACAAGCTTACACATCTTTAGTGTCGACGCAGCAACATCGCTATCATTGCTTTCAACTGTGCAGGAAAAAAAACTGTCCTCTTCAAAGACAGCTCAAAATTAGCCATCCTGACCATCTCATGTTTCAAACACGAAATCAGCATCTATGACCCAAAAAATAAAAAAATGTACCACGCAAGTAGAGAACACACTCAGCAGTCAATCTCACCCACTGTTTTATCTCTAAAAAAATTTAAGGGCATATGAACTGACGAGGGCACAGTAAACATGAGGTGCAACCTGTTTGGGGGCTTTATAATACTCATGATACTTCTACAACAACCCTTAAAACTGAACTGGAGAGAACATTACAATTGCAGACCAGGGCATTTAGCATGAAGTACGAAGACATATTTTTTTTTAAAATGGTACTGCATCATTCCGTTTCTTCGATTGCAGTAGGCAAACTTCTAGACGAAGAATAGTCTTGATAACTTGATGAAAGCTGCCACTGTTGATGCATTTTTTGTTTTCTTTTAAAGCCACACAATCGCTATTGCTGGGGACCCTAATATAACTCAACCCATGGGTTAAACGGGATATCTAGAACCTATCCAAAGTGATCCTCATCCGAATGGTGGCACTTTGTGTCACCGGGTGTTTATCACTCGGTGTGATGTCCTGGTGGGGTTGAGCGTCAGTCAGTCAGGTATTATTGATTGAACAAGGGCAGGGGCAAAGAAATAAATACCTTGATGTCGTGACCACATGCAATAGGCAGGACAAGAGCCCTGTCTTGATCTGTGATTTTGCTCTTCGAAAAGAATGGCGAATCATAACCGCCTATGCTTATTGACATGACATGACACATAATTTTGATATCTTCTAGCAGCAAAAAAAAAAAAAAACAAACTGGAGAGGGTGTGGAAACTGAACAATGTTTTCATTGATGGTTAGTTGCGTATCCTTTACAGGATGTTGCAGAACCAATCCCAACAGCCCCTGGTTGTTGTGTGTGTTTTTTTAAGGCAAATTTACGACCAGTATTTTGCTATTGCTTTCTGGATGGTCGGCTTTCTTGATACCACTGTCGAAACCAACGCAACGCATGGCCTGCAGTTGGGATCGAACCCGGCATCCCGGCATTACAAAGCGTTTGCATCGACCTAGCCACAGAGCCGACGTTTTCATTGTAGTGTCCCCCCCCCCCCCCCCCCCCAAAAAAAAAAATATGGGAAACACCAGTGTACAAGAAGTCCACTGCATGCAGCAGGGCGAGATGTTACTATGGCACCTTTTACCAGTTGATGTCCACGTAATTTTGTGTATGTTATCTAGCTAGTTGTCAGATCAACTAAGTTGCCTCTTCCTAGTGGTAACAACATATGCTGGTCCATGACTGCAATAAATTCGTGGGCAACTTCTGTATCTAGAGGCCACTTTACTGTCCGCCACCCGTTGGACACACCTAGCAGAAGTGCAGACCCCTAACTCTTATCAAGCACCTTATGAAGACCTGAGCAACGATTTAGTTAGACAGACAGCCTTCTAGTAGCACACTATACGAGTACATGTACTTATCTACACAACAAGTACATTAAAGGAACATTTGACAATTGTGCACATGCATATATAATTTATGTGTATATGTGTGTGTCATCTAATCGAAAAACACATTCTCTTTGTAACCTTAGAAAATATCAGTATGCTTTCTTATTACAGCATAACCACAAACACGCATTATGTATGTGCACACACCCACACACAAGCACACACCCACACACACGCACGCACACACACACACACACACAATATATATATATATATACTTAATTGGCCGGCTTCGCACAGGATAGTGAAAGTCTGATTCCTCCGTCTTCTACCTGATCTTGCTGTCCCTCTAGGTAGGCCTTGTGGAAATAGACGTATAACTAAGACCCTATATTTAATCTCCATATCGTCTTTGTGTCCACGGCTGTCATATCTTTAGTTATGACCCCTAAGTGCACCCGAAGCATCTCCTGTAATACTAACACAAGATTTTAATAATTTAACAATTTGATAGTCAGACAAACGTATTGTCTCAGACACATATAGATATGTGCTTTGAAGAAGGATAACATTGAAATATAATTATTATAAATTATTGCTTTCAAGGCAAGGAAAGGAAAACAAATATTCAAAGAGAAATAATGTCAGCGAAAGTTTGCTTTGATTGTCGCAATGAAAAGTCTGACCTATGTAGAGTTATGATCACATTAGGCCAGGAATGCAGAGAGTG